TTGTAGTTCAGAGAAAGCGTGAGGACTCTTTTGTAAAAAGCGTAGGCGCGTGGGCCTTCCCCGCAAGTGGGCTGCGTCTTCACGTGGGCCACCCCTTTGCGGGCCGCGCCGAGCCGCAGAGCCCTTTTCTTTTTCAGAAGGTTGATTAATGTTTTTGAATTTAGTTGCTGAAGCAAACTTGCAAATTCAATACAAATTTGTGTAGTTAACCAAAAATTGTGAAACCAATTTTGTTAGGCTCCTAAAATCATGATCTATCTGTTAGCGTAATTGGTTCATTTAGTTTTAAAATGTTTCAGGGTTGCACTAATTATTTTAAAATGTTTAATATTGTTAAAATGTGAACTTATGGGAATTTTTGTGAGAAAATGGTGATGGTGTTGACTCTGAAAATTTTACAGTAAATTCATAATATTATTAGCTGCTCACTGTAATTTTTGTAGCTCTAGAATAATTAGTTTGTTAGATAGATAATGATGCCCTATTTTGAATAGAATGGAATAAAGAAACAACTTGGGTTTGTATAGCTAAAACACTCAGTGGGAAATAACGTCTTGATCAACAATGTGGATGCATAGCCTAAGTACGGTCGTCGTTAGAACTAGCTCGGTAACTTGAGAGGCATAAATCGTATTTTCCGAGTCACGATTGCAGTTGGTTATTTACGTCTCTACATTGCGTCCACATATACCATAATAGGAACAACGATGGACCATGGAGACGACCGGAGTAGCAGAAAAGATGGTGCCTTGGTGATCGTTTCGCCACGATGGAATGCTAACTTTTGGTTATATCTTACCTAAGCAAGCCCCGGTGCATAACCCTATTATTCTGCACTTTATTTTATGCTTGTGCATTAGTTTTAAAGAGTTGAATGAAAACCACTTGCATATATATATATCCTTATCCTATGAGTCTTACTAGTATGATAGGATCATGTAGATTACTATGCTACAGGACTCTGGTAGAAGTCGAGTGATTGCCTGTCACTCGCGAGAGATAGGAAAGATATTATTATTGCTATTATATTATTATCACACTGAAAAATATATATGAATGATAATTGGAGACCGGACGGAATGGTATTTTAGATCTGGACTTGGTTTGGCATTCGAGCGAGGCTCGGATTGTATTTGTTTCGCCTGTGTCGGTTAAGGACCGGCCATTGCAAGTACATACTTGTCTATGGGAGCAGAAAAGGCTCGCTGCTCTCTTGTCATGGGTTCTGACTCTTTTCGGATCGACTGATTGGAGGCGGGGATGGTGGAGGTTTAAGCACCACACTGAGTCCGGGACTCAAGTGTCGGGGCTTGGAGTCCAAGTTTGGACGGAGACCAGGACCCCTTGACAGGAGAGTGGTGGGTTGGTCCTGCTTATGCTGGGGTACAAGCGGAGCGTGTGTTTTAGGGTACCCAGCTAGGTACATTGGTTCACGAATGCCGGGGATAATCCGGTATAACTTGTCTACAGTCTAGCACCGTAGTAAGAACTGGAATATGAAAGATGGTAAAATAGTTTTAATTGCTTACCACCGGCTTGAAAAGTAGGATATGTGCTTATATAGAATGGTTAGTTAATGAACTAATGATGACTGCTAATAAAATTAAATATAAGGACGTACGTTTAGTAATGCTCAGACAGATGCAATAAATCCATAAGCCAGATAGCCTTGCATATCCTAGAGTCTTTTATTTTCTCCTGACGGGTAAGTCTTGCTGAGTACAATTGAGTACTCAGGGTTTTATTTCCCCTGTTGTAGGTGACAGGCGGATGCACAAGCTAACTCTTGTGTGTGGATCCCTCCTGATGGGCTTAGAGAGGATTGCTTTACGCTACGATCATAGTTTTTATTTATAACTCTCACTAAATATTTTTATAAATGAAAGTTTTATAATCGTTGCCATAGTTTATATATCAATGCTTCATCATGTCATGAATAGATATTTATTTTCGTTGTAACTCTGATCACATGTTTATATTCCGCTGTTAAATTAAATTGTTCATAACTCTGATGTTGTATTAAAAGTGATGTAAGAAATGACTTAAAAATATTGTAAGCTTTATTCTGTTATTTGTGATCCTGATGGAAAATGTGGATTTTTGGGTTCTCTTTTGGGGTGTGCTCGACGGAACTGCGTAATTTAGTGTCTTTCCTTGAATACTTAGTGTCTAATAGAGGACAAGTACTCTAAAAGACATTAGATTAGGTGGTTCTGCCACATTATTAACCGACTTCACTAAGCTAAGTAATTGGACTAACTATTAGATGGACCAAAGCATGCTCAACTTAGTTTTGTTTACGAATTACACATTGCAGAGCACACATGAAAATTCTACTCCTATGAACACCTCGAAAAACTAAGTTTGTAGGTAAAGAAGTTAACAAAGTGACTATAGACGTCTTATTGTCGATGAGCACATCATTCAACCACTGAAAGAATGTTGTTGATAAATTATCGAATAAATCTCAAGAAATATAAGTACTTGTACCAAGTTAAGGACTTAACCCAATAATTAGGTTACACTATAAGTAATCTAACCAGCTAATCTATGCTTAGTTCGTAACTAATAGATTAGCCAATAGCCTCGTAAGAAATTTGTTGCTACGTTTCCTCTGCTAGCTGTTAACTATTGGTGTTAATGGATCAAAAATGGGATGGAAATTAGAAACATACGGCGCACAGTCTTCTCATCTTCTGTTTACGATCGAGGTGAAGCAAGACAGAACATGTAAAAAAACACGAGAGAGCGACGAAGAGGAAGATTATGGGCTTTGACGTGCCAAAAAAGGCTTTTAACATGGTTCGTGCCTCAGTTTTGGACCACCTATGGGTTACAGCATCAGGCCGGCAGGCCCACTTCATTTAGGCCCGTGCTTTCTCTGATTGAAGAAACAGACGAAACAGCAGAGGACGAGACAGAGACAGAGACAGAGACAGACAGAGGACGAGACAGCATCACTGCACCCTGACCAGAAACAGACGAAATAATTTACAGACCCCGTTCTATTGTAGTACTCCGTTACAACTTACAGTACCATTTACCCTGAAGAAACCTTCCACCTCGTTACAGTACCATCATTTACCCTGAAGAATCCTTCCACCTCAAATCAAAGCTCAGACATCCCACACCAGCAGCGCCCAATGCCTGTCCTCTCCCCGAAATCATTTGAACCCAGCTGAAGGGAAGGGTGAAGCGACAGGCCAGGCGACCACTTGCAACTTGCAAAAGCAGCGCTGCGATTGGCACACACTCCACATGCGCCTGCCTGCCTGCCTCCCTGCCTGCTAGAGTGCTAATGCAAGGCACCAACAACAATAAACACACCCACCCACACACTCTTGGAGATGGAGGGAATGTTCGGCTGATCGTTTCAGCTAGCTTATTTACTGGCTTATAAGGGGGTGTTTGGTTCCAGGGATTAATTTTTAGTCGCTGTCATCGGATGTTTTGAACATTAATTTGGAGTCTTAAAATATTCTAATTCAAAACTAACACACAGATGGAGGCAGAATTCTACGAGATTCTTCTAATTAATCCATCTCGGCACTCATATTTACAAGGAGGACGGCGGCGTCCAGGCCGGCAGGCGACCTGATTGTGCTTAATAGAGGGCTGCAATGCGGCCTCCATCTATGTAATTGTACCCAGACCCAGCCGAGCAGCATTTGGCCGCTTCTAAATTACTGTCAGTGCATCAGGGCCGTGGAACGCCCTGAAATGTGGTTTTATCCTCAAACGCCTCCCGCCCAGAGTCCCAGGCCTTGTTCTCTTTAAAAATTCAGTCTTACAAATCAGCACCGGCAGAGATTCTCAGATTCTAAAATGCCCACTCAGCACTCAGCTGTACAAGGAGGGACGGCGGCGTCCCCAGGCCGGCAGGCGACCTGATGCCAGCGCAAGGGCTGCATGCGGCCTGCCTGCAGGTGTACCCAGACCCAGCCGAGCAGCATTTGGCCGCTTATTACTCGCAGTGCGCAGGGCCGTGGAACGCCCTGACATGTGGTTTTATCCTCGGCCGCCTCCCGCCCAGAGTCCCAGTCGCATGCTATGTACGTCTGCCTCCCGTTTTCTTTATGCCATGATGATGATGGGGCTGTTGTCCGTGGCGCCGGGCGCGGCAGAGTGGACAAGTGCTAGGGTCTGAGAATCTGTGGGCGCAACTTGCAGTCACCCAGTTGTTTTCTCTGGCTGGGACTGGCGACTGCGATGCATATCCGATCCACCATCCCGCAAGCAGCAGGGGCTGTTCATGCGATAGATTCAGGTTCAGTAAAAGAACATGTAATTTCTTTCTTTTTCTTTTTGTCCATTTTGTTTCTTCAGCGTCCCCTTGCAATAACGCTGATATAAATAAACAGATGGAAAACCCTCAGAAAATTAATTTCAATGGTGCATGTTGATCAGCACGCATGATCTAATAATAGATATTGCATGTTCATCATCCAAAGGAAACTTCATTTATTCGTAGCCAAGACCAAAGCTTTTACTCTATTTCTCTGCATGTTTTTCTGATTCCAAGTTATATTTATTTTCTCTCCAGGCATAGTGGCATGAATGAAACTAGTTAGAAATATATTTGTTTTTGATATCGTTATCATCTGGGCCGCTCTCTGTCTCCATGCCCATCAGCACCCTAATCGAAAGTCAGAAACGAGTAGCCCGCAGGGGCCGGGGCAGGGTCAGGGTCAGGGTCAGGTCAGGCTCAGGCTCAGGCTCAGGCAGGCCGACATCGGCGTGGATACGGTCAAAATCCCCAACCGACGGCCTGCCAGCCGTCCATGCGCTCCATCGGACGGCTAGCTGCCGCCGCTCACCGATATCCTCCTCTGCCGCCTGCTTTATTTAGCCTAGCTTCTCCCGCGAGCTGCTCCTGCTCCTCTTCTTCCCTCCACTCGCCTCCAAATTTTCTCTCTCTCCGGCCCCTTCTTCTCTTCTCTCTTCTCACCACACCACCTCTCTCCCTCCCTCCGCCGCGCAGGTGCAGTGCTAGAGAGACCATGCAGGCGGCGGCGGTGAATGGCGCGGGCGACGTGCAGAAGCCTCACCAACAGCAGCAGCCGGTGGTGGTGGGGGCGCCGCCTCCGCCGGCGGCGGCCGTGGTGCCGCCCCATTGGGTAGCCATGCCGTTCGCGCCGCCTCCCGGGGCCGCGGCCATGGTGATGCAGCCGCACCAGATGGCGCCACCGCCGCCCCAGTTCGCGGCGGCCCACTTCCTGCCGTTCCACGCCGTCGCGCCGCCGCCGCCGCGGGCGGCGCCCGTGCCAGTGGTCACCCTGGGCTCCCCCGCGCCGCATCAGGCCGGGCACGAGGAGAACAAGACCGTCTGGGTCGGCGACCTCCATTACTGGATGGACGAGAACTACCTCCACAGCTGCTTCGGCTACACCGGCGAGGTGAGCACGGATGCGCGCGCCCTCGCAAGCCCAGATCTTGCCCACGGCCGTGCTATATATTCCCGAGTCAGCCACCTCCACGAAAAAAAGAAACTGAAAAAGATGTTTTTTTGCACCCGCCTGCCCATGAATCTTTCTTTCTTTTGTTTGACGTGACAAACGCGTGTTGTTTTCTCCCTCGGCTCATGCTCAGCCTCAACTCAACTAGCCAACTAAAAATGGCAATTTGATGCGTTCGTTCGTTTCCAAAATGTGCCCCCCGTTTCTCGGGCTGCGCGAGCAGGAGAGAGACTACTCGTTGTAGTTGCAGATGTGGGACTGGGTCACACCCGTCACTGTGCTGAAAAAGGAAACGGCTTGGGCAAACCGTTGGGTAAACGGCAGGCATGGATCTGCGAGCTGGAGCTGGAACTGGAAACTTGGAAACTTGCGGTGCCCAGTGCCTCAGACGTCATGCTCGTTAGATTGGCCCTTCCTGTACTGGTCTGCGAAAATATTCCGCCTGATGTACCGGCAACCCCCGTGATGTGCCATTGCCACACCTGTTGCAGTCCTGATTGGCAGATTTCCTTTTAGGTGTTTTGGGTTCCTAACACCATGTTTATCAGGGTACTTTGTTCTTTTCTTGATGAAAACATGCTTAAACGATATGGCTTATTTATTTGGATACCGAACAATAATAGCTACAGAATGTCAGAATCAATGCTGTCTTTCAGTAGACTGAATGAATAAAAAGGAAACAACTAATGTTAACAGTTTGGGAGAAAATATGGAGAAACCTGAGAGTCACGGAGAAATATTTTGGTGAAGCACACAGTAACTTTGGGTGTAATAACGAAGAAAAATAAGCCTATAGTTAAAGTTCAAACTAAGCATTTTTAGTTTTTGCTGCTGCTGGTGCTGACTAAGCCTTAAGCCCTGGGTTACTCTGCCATTTCAATGGATATTTGGTGTGTTTAAGTGAAACCTATCTCGTGACGCAGTTCTACATTCTTTTCTTTTTATTTGGATACCTTAAGTCCAAACTTGCACTAATAGCTCATAATACGTTGTAGGTTGTGGCGATTAAAGTGATTCGCAATAAGCAGACTGGACAGTCTGAAGGATACGGATTTGTTGAGTTTTACAGCCATGCTGCAGCTGAAAAAGTTCTCGAAGGTTTTTCTGGTCATATTATGCCAAATACCGACCAGCCTTTTAGGTTAAATTGGGCATCGTTTAGCATGGGAGATAGGCGCTCAGATGTTGCTTCAGATCATTCCATATTTGTAGGCGATCTTGCTTCTGATGTCAACGATGCCACACTACTGGAGGCTTTCTCCAGCAGGTACTCCTCTGTCAAAGGTGCCAAAGTTGTAATTGATGCTAACACTGGTAGATCCAAGGGCTATGGCTTCGTGAGATTTGGAGATGACAGTGAGAAGACACACGCCATGACTGAGATGAATGGTGTGTTTTGCTCTTCTAGGCCCATGAGAATTGGCCCAGCAACTCCAAGAAAATCATCAGGTTCAGTTCAAAGTATCCATTTATTATATCTACTTTCATACTTCTTTCTTCATGATGTTGTTCTTTCACAAATCTTTGTCTTTGTAGTATCCAAGTTTATGCTGTTAGATTTCTTTGTTTTTCATATAATCCGTTGTAAATTAAAAATTTAAAACTAAACAGAGCATAAGTGATTTATTTTATTTATTGATTGTTTCAGTGGTCGTTTGAGTATTGTGATCCTCTGTCACTTCTCATATGATTCAAGTTGCATTTAACTGTTAAATCCAATTGAATGGGTGTTTCTTGATTTTGTCACTCCATTTTAAATGTTGACGTTCTATTAGGGGAGTAGGGATCATATTTATGGCAGTTTATTGCAATTAGGCAATATCTGAATGTGGTTCCTGCATTATATTATCATGCGCGATTCTAGTGACTTGAGCATTCATGGGAAGTGGAAATTACCTTTTTGATATTAGTATGCCCTTTAGCATCGCTGTAACCTTTTATATTTCAAAGCTCTCTTATATTTTGACTTGTTCTAATTTTGTTTGATCAATGACTAGTCTTCCATGTTTCGACTGCTTACAATGTACCTGTGTGTTTTCCTTCTTATTAGGTATGAATATGGTCTCCTTCTTGTACTTTAAACACATCATTTGCCACTGAAAAAGGATGGGAAACATCACTTTACTGGAAACTTCAAAATTTGGCATTTATCATCCTTGTTTTTCTACTTTACTGTTTGTTTTTTACCCTTCATATTAATTTTTTTTTTTTTTCCCGCTTCTTTCAATGAGGATGATAATTAGGCAGAATGCTAACAACTTATTTGTTCTTTCGGTTCTATTCTGGGATCAGAACGAACGGTTAACTAATCTACTGCTCCTTTGTGTGAACGCACAGCAGGGGAAGGCGGCGCAAAAAAGGCTCCCTGCTGTGACATTGTAGCCGCTGTAGGGGCAGGCGCCGAACGGCTCACCTGTCGCACTGTAGCCACAGCAGGGGCAGGCGCCAAAGTTAGCTCTGCTGTCACATCTAGTCACTGTAGCAACATATTAGTCTGACATGTCTGTGTACTAGGGTTAGATGGTTAGAGTTGTATATATAGTTTGCCACTGCAGCTCAGTAAAGAGAGTGAGTTTAGATTTGCCATCTCTTATACAGAGTTCCGGCCAACACTAGTGTCTCTGCTATGTGTGTATGCTCTGTTCTCCCTCACTTTTTCTACTTCTAGCCATAGTGTGTGGTCGAACAACGATAGTCATGGTCGGCATCGCTAGTGTGTGCTCGGCAACACTAGCGAGTGGCCGGACTAACTCCGTGTCGAGATCCGAGGGGACAAGTTTCGGAAATGGGCGTCGCGGACTAACCGCTAGCGATGACGGACGTTTTGGAAATGGGCGCAAGAAGATTAAGCGCTGCTTGTGTACTGCTGACTTCTGATGAAGGTTGTTGTTACTTGCGGTGCGGGAGGTCGGTGACACCGGTTGGCCAATCTTGACTCGCACCAACTATGGAGAGTGGTCGGTGACCATGAAGGTCAAGTTTAGAGCAAGACGGCTACGGAATGCTATTGACAAGGCACACCGACAATGAAGAAGATGACATGTCGGCGTTGGAGGCTATCCTCGTCATTTGTCTGCGTGAGTATAGAGAGCCGTTGAAGTAAAAGCTCTGCTAAGAAGGCGTGGGAGGCTATTGCGGCAATGCGCGTCGGTTCCAAGCAGCGCCAAAGAAAACGACGGCCCGCTTTCAAGCAAGAGTACGCCAACCTCAAGTTCAAGGATGGTGAATCGGTGGAGGATTTCTCCTCCGATCGCAGACGCTCATCGCAAAAGTTGAAGAGCCCGCGGCGTCATCATCGACGAAGAGGAGGCGGTCTTCAAGTACCTCCACGCCGTCTTGCAAGCAAAGTACATCCAAATCGCTCTCTCCATAAAGACGATCTTTGGACTTGTCCACCCTCACCATTGAGGATGTGACAGCCGTCTCACAGGCGGTGGGCGAGCACCGAGCAAAGCGACAAGAACGGAGGACGGCGACAAGCTGCTGGCGCAGAGGAGAGTGGGTCGCTTGGAGAAACTCTAGGGTAGCCTCCTCCTCCGGTAGCGGTGGCGATAGTAAAGCCATGGCAAGGCTTCTTCGGAGAAAAAGCAGGTCGACCCCAACGCCTACCGGTGCTGCGGGAAGATGGGCCATTGGGCAAGGGAGTGCCCAAATCTCAAGCAGGAGAAGAAGGCTGAGGCTCATCTAGCGCAAGCTAACGACGATGATAAGGCTACTATCCTGATGGCGATGTTTTGTGCACTGCACGACATCGAGGCCGAGGAGAAGAGAGAGGTGATGACGGTGAAAGGGCCTGGGAAGACCCTGAAGGCTGTCAACCTCAATGAACTACGCGCCCAAGTCCACCTTGGACGTGTGGGCGGCGAGCAGGAGCAGTGGTGGTACCTGGACTCCGGCGCCAGCAACCACATGACGGGCTCCAAGGCAGCCTTCTCCGAGCTCGACGATGATGTGACCGGCACGGTGAAGTTCGATGACGGCTCAAGGGTGGCAATCCAAGGGCGCGGCACCATCATCTTCAGGTGCTAGAACGGCGAGCACCGCGCGCCAACGGATGTATATTACATCCCGCAGCTGCGTTCAAGCATCATCAGCATTGGCCAGCTGGATGAGCGCGACAGCGAGGTACTGATAAAGGACGGAGTCCTCAGGATCAGAGACCGGGAGCAGCGACTTCTTGCCAAGGTAAAGAGGTCTCAGAACCGGTTGTACCTGCTCGACTTGAAGGTGGAGCAGCCAGTGTGCCTGGCGGCAAGGCACACCGAGGAACCGTGGCTGTGGCATGCTCGGTTCGGCCATCTCAGCTTCGACGCGCTTGGTCGGCTGGAGAAGATGTTCCGAGGGCTGCCCCACATCGAGCACGAAGGCAAGCTGTGTGACAGATGTCTGGTCGGGAAGCAGAGGAGGCTGCCATTCCCAAAGGCGGCCAAGTTTCGCGCGGTGGACGCTCTCGAGCTCGTCCACAGCGATCTCTGCGAGCCAATCACGCCAGCCACGAATGGTGGTCGACAGTACTTCCTCCTGCTCGTGGATGATTGCAGTCGCTACATGTGGCTGTAACTCCTGACGAGCAAGGACGAAGCGGCGGCGGTGATCAAGAAGTTCAAGATGCGCGCGGAGGCCGAGAGCGGCAAGAAGCTCCGCGTGCTGAGGACTGATCGCGGCGGCGAATTGACTTCGGTGGAGTTTGCTGCGTACTGCGCGGATCAGGGTGTGGTGCGACACCACACCGTGCCGTACTCGCCACAATAGAATGGCGTGGTGGAGCAACGGAACCAGACGGTGGTCGGCATGGCTCGATCCATGATGAAAGCAAAGGGCATGTCGACAAGCTTCTGGGGTGAGGCGGTGACCACGGCAGTGTTCATCCTCAACCACGCGCCCACCGAGGCCCTAAAGGGCAAGACGCCGTTCGAAGTTTGATACGGGTGCAAGCCGAGCGTGTCTTTCCTCCGGACATTCGGCCGCATCGGCCACGTCAGGAAGACGAAGTCGATCCTCACCAAGCTGGAGGACAGGAGCACACCAATGGTGTTCCTGAGCTACGCGGAGGGTACCAAGTCGTACCGGCTCTACGACCCATGCAGAGGCAAGGTGCTTGTCTCGCGCGATGTCATGTTCGACGAGAAGGTGGCTTGGGACTAGAACACTCCAAGCAAGGGGGAAGCTGGCGGCTTCACCAGCACCTTCGTCATCGAGCACTTGGTCATCCACGATGGTGGAGACGCTGGGGAAGAGGTGTCGAGCACTCCGGGAGGTGCCGAACACTCCAACAATAGAGCCGAGCACTCCTGGGGAGGTGCCGAGCACTCCGGGAGGGGTGCAGACCAATACATGAGTGATGACGAGCGGTCCAGGAGTAGTGCCGAGCACTACATTCGAGGTGCTGAGCACTCCAGGTGCTGTGCCGAGCACTCCAGCGGAACAAAAACTCCATCGACGCCGATCGAGTTCGCCTCACCTCTATGTGACATCATTGAATTCGTGGATGTCTTCCACGAAGGTGAGGTGCGGTTCCGCAGGTTGGACGACATCGTCGGCGGCACAGGGCCCTCAGGCTTGGCGGGTCGGCTGCTTAATGACCCAGAACTGCTGCTCGTCAGTGCAGAGGAACCACCCATGTTCGCGCTGGCTGAGCGCGATGGAAATTGGCGACGGGCGATGCTGGAGGAGATGAAGGCGATCGAGGAAAACGAGACTTGGGAGCTCGTCGATCCACGTCTAGGATGCCATCCGATCGGCCTGAAGTGGGTGTACAAGGTCAAGTGGGACGAGCACGGCGCCATTGTCAAGCACAAGGCGCGTCTCGTCGCCCGAGGCTTTGTCCAGCGCGAGGGCATCGACTTCGAGGAAGTCTTTGCGCCAGTAGCGCGCATGAAGTCTGTCCATTTGCTACTAGCCTTGGCAGCAGCGAAGGACTGGCGCGTCCATCACTTGGACGTAAAATCGGCCTTCCTCAACGGCGAGCTGGCGAAGACAGTCTTCGTTAGGCAACCTCCAGGTTTCGCCGTCAAGGGAGTGGAGCACAGGGTGCTCCGACTGTGCAAGGCGCTCTACGGGCTGTGACAAGCCCCACGAGCGTGGAATGCCAAGCTTGACGCCACGCTGGGCGAGCTTGGGACCACGAGGTGCGCAACCGAGCACGCGCTCTACACGTGGCGACGGGGGATGGAGGAGCTCGTCGTCGACGTGTATGTGGACGACTTGGTCGTCACCGGAGCGCGTGCGGAGGACATCGACAGCTTCAAGCGCGAGATGGCGGCTCGTTTTTGAATGATCGATCTCGGTGTGCTCTCCTACTACCTCGCTATTGAGGTGAGACAGGAGGAGGAGGCACTCGCGCTTGCTCAGAGCACGTACGCCTCGAAGCTGTTGGAGCGGAGTGGCATGGCTGAGTGCAAGCCATGCGTGACTCTGATGGAGGAGCGGCTGAAGCTAACGAAGGCCATTTCCATGGCGAAGGTAGATGCAACACTCTACCGGAGCATCGTCAGCGGTCTGCGCTATCTAGTCCATACGAGGCCGGACATTGCGTTCGTCGTGGGCTACGTCAGTCGCTTCATGAAGGATCCCAGAGAGGATCACTGGGCTGCGATAAAGCGGCTACTGCGCTACGTCTAGGGGATGGTGGATCAGGGGATCGTCTTCCCCAAAACAGACGGAAGTAGGATGCAGCTCACTGTGTTCAGCGATGCAGACATGGCTGGGGGACATCGACGGACGATGGAGTACCTCTGGCTTGCTCGTCTTCCTTGGGTCGGCTCCAATTTCATGGCTGTCGCTGAAACAGAAGGTGGTGGCGCTATCTACATGCGCGGAGATGTAGTACGGCAGCGACGCGACGGCGTGCCAAGTTGTTGTTGTGTGTGGCTGCCATTTGTTTGGCGGTGGCCGGTGTGGAAGCTCACCCACCAACACTGATGGTGGACAACCAACCCGCCATCACCCTCGTGAAGAATCTAGTTCTCGACGACCGGAGCAAGCACATCGACGTCAAGTTCCACTTTCTCAGAGACTGTGTCGATGGAGGGCAGATCATCATCGAGTTCGTCGAAACTGGTCGGCAACTCGCGAACGTCCTCACCAAACCGCTCGGCCGTCTTCGGTTCACTGAGCTGAAGGAGATGATCGGCATGGAGGGGGTTTAAGGGTTAGCAGCAGGATTAGGGGAAGAATTGTTAACTAATCTACTGCTCCATTGTGTGAACGCACAGCAGGGGAAGACGGCATCGAAAAGGCTCTTTGCTATGACACTGTAGCTGCTGCAGGGGCAGGCGCCGAACGGGTCACCTGCCGCATTGTAGTCACAGCAGAGGCAGCGCCAAAGTCAGCCCTGCTGTCACATCTAGTCACTGTAGTAACATGATAGCCTGGCATATTTGTGTACTAGGATTAGATGGTTAGAGTTATATATATAGTTTGCCACTGCAACTCAGTAAAGAGAGCGGGTTCAGATTTGCCATCTCCTATACAGAGCTCTGGCCAACGCTGGTGTCTCTGTTGTGTGTGTATGCTCTGTTCTCCCTCACTTCTTCTACCTCTAGTCATAGTGTGTAGTCGGACAAAGATAGTCGTGGTCGGCATCACTAGTGTGTTCTCAGCAACCCTAGCGAGTGGTCGGATAACTCCGTGTCGGAGATCCAGGGGCCAACACGAACGTCATATTCTTGTGGCAGTTTAGTTCTGTAAACCCAATTAAACATGGTTGATATATATCGATTAATCTACCACATACTTGAAAGACTATAACATCATGTAAGAAGGATTTATATTTAACTTTAAGATACACACTGCTTTGAAAGATACTGAGACGAGCTGATATAGAGATCATAGTGATTTATTTAGACCTGAGAATAACAGTGGAACAATGCCTTGTGAATTGCTACTAACATTGTACCAAATAAAGTTTGCTTTCAGAATCATACACACCTTTTGGACGATGTTGATAATTTATTTCTAGTTCTCTAAAAATCATGTTGGTTTTAGGTACTTCTGGATCGAATGGTTCATCTGCTCGATCAGACGGAGGAGATTTGACAAACACAACCGTGAGTAAAGAAGCATTCCATGCAACTCATGTTTTTGTTGTCCATCAAATTTTCACTTTTAATCAAAGTACTTTGAATATGCATAGGTATTTGTGGGTGGGCTTGACCCAAATGTTAGTGAAGAGGACCTTAGGCAAACCTTCTCCCAGTATGGAGAAATTTCTTCAGTAAAGATTCCAGTTGGGAAACAATGTGGCTTCGTGCAGTTTGCCCAGAGGTATGAGCCTCCATACTTTCCACATTTCAGCTCCCCAATTCCATCCTTGTAGTGGACTCTGTTACCCTCATGACATCTGATGAATTGTTCTTCTCCCTTTTGCCAGAAAGAATGCTGAAGACGCATTGCAAGGATTAAATGGCAGTACTATTGGCAAACAGACCGTGCGTCTTTCATGGGGTCGCAACCCAGCAAACAAGCAGGTACTAATGTACTATTAACCGGCTAATATACCGTAAAACTCTGCAGCAAAAACTTTGACACTGTTTTGCGGTTTATTACAGTTTAGAGGGGACAACGGCAACCAGTGGAACAACGGGGGCATGTACTACGCGGCGTCCCCGTTCTACAACGGCTACGGTTACCCTGCGGCCCCGTTCCCTGATCCAGGCATGTACGCTGCTCCAGCCTACGGTGCCTACCCGTTCTATGGCAACCAGCAGCAAGTGAGCTGACCTGGACTATCGCGACGCCTCGCTCGAAGCTGGAGCCTGGAGGCATTAGGCGCTTAGGTGTAGTAGCTCTTGGTAGAAGAAGATGAAGAAGGTAGACGACGAGGGTTTCTTAGGTGAGCTAGATACCGTGACTAGTCTCGTATAGTGCGTTTTGTTACACGTGCTAGGGTCTAGCGCCGCCGAGAGTCCGAGTGTTCGACACGCCTATTGACTGGCCACGGTATGTCGAATTCAACGACAGAAAGAATTTTTGATGACCTGGAGCTGCATGCTACCATGAAGCAGAACAATAAGCTAATGGAATCCTTTGCCTCTGCTATTCGATTTGGCTTGAGTTTGCAGTGATCATGCGACGGTTTATATTAGTATGATATGAAGAGTAACTAATGCAGTATGGGTTGGTTTGGTTACCGGAGGCACGTAGCCACATGAGGCTCCACAAGTTTCAGATGTATCTTTGCCTATAGCACGATGAGTGATACAGAAGATTATTAGTTTCCTCAAAAGTATATAAGATGATTAGATGCCTTTGGTTGACACCACTGTAGAACACAATCCCTGTCCAGTAGCGGACCCAGCGTCCCAAGGGAGCCCCGGCGATCCAAAGATGCTCATGAGACAACGTATTTTTTTAGCTTACAACAAAGCGCAAGGTGGTACTCCCTCCGTCCCCAAAAGACTGTTGTTACATCAGCTTACACCTGCTGGCGTCCAGGGTCGCCGGACCTGGGTCCGCCAATGTCCCTGTAGGTCTATCATTGTTGGGTGCATGGGAGCTGGCAGTGATCCGGTTTCATTGCCGGGTTGTAAGCCTAGAACACATTGGAGCTGGCAGTGATCTAGTTTCATTGTCGGGTCGTAAGCCTAGGACACAGAGTTTCTATCAGCTCATCACCATCGAGTGTACAGTGTACTAGAGCTGGCAGTGATCCAGCTTCATTGTTGAGTCGTAGGCCTAGGATCTAGACAATAATTGTGATCTTATTGCATTGATTGACTTCACTACTAGGTCATTGTCTGAAAAATGATTAGGATCATGTTGACCCAGCTCCCATCTTACTACTGAGTTGAGTCATGACCCGATAGTGATATATCACTGTTGACCAGGTCAAGGCTTGATCTCGCAGCAACAATAAGATATTATTGCCAGGTTGTGGATTGACTTGGCAGCGTTCTAGGTAGAGTATAAAACCCTAGCCTCCTTCGTGTTCCTTCCACCCATTTTGAGCACACCCTTCTAAAAAGCCATCTTTTCCTACCTCTCTCTCCATTGTTGCGTCTATTTTTCACTAAAATGCTCATTGATGGTCTTAGTTTTTCAAGGATGGACATGATCTCCTTGCTTTAAAGTGTGTAAGTAGCAACCCTTTGAATTTGTAGCTTATTTTGTTGGTTAGATTGTTTTTAATTCTCATGCTCGTTTCTCCATTTTAGAGAGCATTTTTCAAAGAATTCTTCATGAAAGCTATCGAATCTTGGTCAATCCATATAGTAGCGGTAATTTAAGTTTAAGACCTATGAACCCATTTAATTTGTAGCTATCTTGTTTCGTTAGATTGCTTTTGATTCTCTATCAAATGTGATGGTTTAGTTGGTTCATTTAGTTTTCCCGTTTTAATGTGTAGCATAGAATAGAATTGTTCATATCCATACTCCATGTAGGCTTGAGATGTATTTTCCGCCAACATTCTTTGTTACGTCTGTCTATTTGCTTGTTCATTCACCTTGTTATCAGATTAAAGGCATTGGCTTAATTTTTCTTGCATCAAATGTTTTCGTTTGAGAGGTTACTGAGTGTTTTCAGGAAGTGTGTTAAAAACTGACATGGGCCAAAAGGGTGCATGGGTTCAAGGATAGACAATGGAGGAGGCCATGGAGCTATCTGTATATCTCTTGGGTCGGTGTTCCTGTATCTCCTCGTGAGGGAAGGCTACAAGGCAAATGAATGATTGGTGATGAATCTATACTTATAGATGACCTTGTTGCTTTCAAGCAAGTACACTCTGCTGTTTTCCAGCAATCAACTATAGTTTCACCATACTTTGATGAGCATGCAGGCATGAACTATAAAGATAGAACCCAGAGAGGACATGCTTGGCTCGCAAACGGCATATATAGAGATCACTTCGGTGACTAGTTTGCGACAAAGCTTGATGGGAAAAGTATGTGTTCTCCTTAGGTGGGTGTATTGGCCCTCGGACCATCCACTACATAGTTGAAGTACCAAGGGTATGATATAAATGCATTTACACTTTACACTAGAAGACAAGATCAAAAAGAATGAAACAGAAAAATACTGTCTTTCGATGCCTACGATGAAAGTGGCCGGGTGGAGACGCACTATGGATTTATAGAAAAGATCGAGCTAGACTACAATGTATTGAAGGTGCCTCTTCTTCAGCGCCAATTGGTTTGACGACTCTCGAGAGGGTCTTCAATAACCAGGACGGTATGACTTGGTGGATCTCGAAACATCGTGTACAAAAACGAACCATTCGTTCTTGCAAAAGATGTAATGCAGGTCTTATATGCAAAGGACAATGCTCATGATGGAAAATATGCGGTACTAAAATTTTAAGGGAAAAGGAAGGTCATCGGCATTGAAGGTATGATAGATGAGGAGGAAGTTTGCAAGGGTTATGGGGAAATGGCTTCTCGGGATAGACGTTGACCCAACTATCTTTGAAGAGGGTGAGAAAACTACGCACGTACGACTTGGTCCTGACTCTTGATGAGGCCCTGATTGCCAATTAAACACACCGTAATTGTTTAGATTTTGTAATAGTTGAATTATCTAATAGTTGAAATGTTGTAGTATTAATTCGTATACAAAAACTTTTGTCTTTGTCCACCATAAAACTTTTTTACATGCAATAGATGACATATATGCTGTTGGCTGGGCCCGCTTCAGAAATTTTAGAAATAATTTACTATTTTCTATAGTTTAAATGAATTTATGTGTATGTATCAAACAATTTCCAAATTAAACTACGTGTACCCAAATAAAATAATTTTTTTTATAAAAATATATTTAGGCTCATATGGTCCTTTCAAGCCCTTATCATCAAATAGATGAAAATTTGAATTATTTTCTAGGATAATTCGACCTTTTATCTCGAGATTACCATGAAATAGTTCTAATAATACCTAAAAGTGGACAGGAAAAAAAATAAAATTTAGCATGGAAGCATATTTTGTGTCTATGCACTTTTTGTAAAATTTTCAAATGACTTTAACAACGGGAGCCTATACATTGTTCACAATATGGATACCCCTCGTCAGTTTTGAACTTAAGGTTGATAACTACGTTTACTCCACACATCCTTTGAGAATTCAACAGTAAATTTGTAAAATATGCAAGTCCGTGCTTCATAATTCAATTATACATTTTTATTTGGTGGATCAGAGCCTTGAATTTGTCTTTATATGATATGGGAAAACAGAGTAAATATTTGAGGATTACAATTGCCATTAGGGAGAACAAACTTTTATGAAGTCATCTTTACTATAAAATCATCACATATAAAGACTTGTGTCTCATGCCAAGAAACTGATCAAATGCAAAAGCATTTGTTTAAGTATTCAAAGTATATATAACCAGAATTGACTTTTAATAGCAGTGCCACCACACCATGCTCATGCTATCCAGCTTCATTGTTGATTGATGGCCAAACTTTCTTAGTATGGACTTGGGTATAAACCGTAAATCACCGTTCTTGTATATAAGGAGGAAGCACCCCTTTGAGGAAATAGTTGAGCAATATGAGTGCTCTCTCGGGTTGCACAGATGGAACCATGTGCCCAGCGGCCCTCACAGTAATAAATGTGAAGCCTCCTGCATACTGTTGAACATAGCCTCCCACCTGTAGCCATATCAGTGAAGTTATTTACCTAGCAAGTAGAAACCTTATCGAAAGATGTCACGAATATGCATTAGTTCACTTATTACCTCCATTTTCGCTGTCCATGGACGCCACGGTGTTGTGACTGAGATGTTCAGATCTTGGATCGAGTATCTTGTGGCGGTCAGCGGGCATATGGCATCGAAATCGCCACTAAAAATTTGTTGATGCAACAATTCTTATGTCAACAACCAGAACCTCATTAAATTTTTGATAATTTGGAGGCGTGAAAAGGATTTACCTAAACAACCATACGGGCAACCCATGCATGATTAGCCACTGGAGGGTCGGCACCATAGATTCTGGCGCATCTTTCCAATCTACAATTACATCTCTACTCACACCAACGAAGTCGCATCAGAAAATAGCCAACATCTCAAAGAATAATATGAATGAACCGTATATAGCTCGTTATAGTAAGCAATCTTACGAGCAGCCACTCCATTCTGTCTTTCTAGCATGAAAAGCCTCTTGCACCACAGGATCATTGAGGTAAGTCACGGTAGGATAGTAGTCACATGCATTGTACCCTGGTAGCTGCATGCATAGGTACAAGATTAATTTGACTGCTTTAGAAAGTTTTCAGTAAATGACAGTACAAATAGTGAGAACGTGAGATGATTATAAATTTCTCTCTTACATAGCTGCTGGAGTGATATGATCCGTCAGGTTCATCGATGCAAATGGGAGCGTATATATCGTAGGGATCAATGGGACCAAAATCGTACCACGCATAGAACTCCGAGCATAGTTTATTATCTGAAGAGTTAAAACTGCAATGGTTGGTAATGTTGGCCCAGGCCTCATCGGATAACACCCCATGATTCCATAGGTACTCAAATCGTCCCTTCTGGTTTTTATACTCATCCAGATATGGATTGCCAACCTGAAAGGAAGAAGAAGACACAAATTACTCATAACAAATGTTAGCTTTCCTTCTTTTGTATATATATATATGCTAGGATCAAGACAGAGAATAATTGATGCATACCAAGATGCCTTGAAGGTTTACGATTGTCCTGTTGTTGTACAAGTTGTGACTAAGGATGGTGGCAGCTAGCTGTGGAACATAGTGACCAGCATAGCTCTCACCAGAAA